CCCACAGGAGCAGCCAAACCTCCACTGAACCCATCCCAATGTTCCTCAGATCCATCCTGAACCTCCCATTCCCTTTGACCCCACCACCCCTTATCCCATCCCTCCAGCCCCACCATTCCCAACCCACCTCCCACAGGAGCAGCCAAACCTCCACTGAACCCATCCCAATGTTCCTCAGATCCATCCTGAACCTCCCATTCCCTTTGTCCCCACCACCCCTTATCCCATCTCTCCATCCCCACCATTCCCAACCCACCTCCCACAGGAGCATCCCCATCCTTCGCCTCGCTCCCCCCCTTCTTCTTCCAAGCCCCATCCCCATGGCGGGTCAGGATGGAGCCCGCATTCCCAAAGCCTGGCATTGCCCCCTTCTCTTATTCCCACTGGGACTCACTCGGAGAAGCCCTTCCACTTGAGCAGGTACTCGGCCTGGCCCTTCACCACGCGCCGGTCCAGCACCTTCTCCACCACATACTCCTCCTCGTCGGCCGAGGAAGAGCTGTCTGCTGCCCGCTTGCTCCTCTTGCCCATAGCTCAGCACCCAAGGGACCTGGATGGGGTGGGGGGGGAAACACACACACACAAAGAAGGGGGTTAAATAGGGATGATCCCCCCCCAAGTGGTACCCAGGGGATCCAAAAGCCCCGTAGGGAAGAGGTGGTGGGGATGGGTGAAAAGTGATGGGGGGGGGAATGGGGATGTGGGGTAAAATGGTTTGGAAGTGAGGGGGTTTGGGGATGGGGAATGGGAGTTGGGGGAAAAGCCTTTAAAATGATGAGGTTTTGGGAATGGGGAACTGGGATTTGGGGTAAAAGCCTTTAAAATGATGGGGTTTTGGGAATGGGGAACCGTGATTTGGGGTAAAAGCCTTTAAAATGATGGGGTTTGGGAATGGGGAGCTGTGATTTGGGGTAAATTGGTTTGAAAATGATGGGGTTTGGGAATAGGGAACTGGGATTTGGGGTAAAAGCCTTTAAAATGATGAGGTTTTGGGAATGGGGAACTGGGATTTGGGGGAAAAGCCTTTAAAATGATGGGGTTTTGGGAATGGGGAACTGGGATTTGGGGGAAAAGCCTTTAAAATGATGGGGTTTGGGAATGGGGAACTGGGATTTGGGGGAAAAGCCTTTAAAATGATGGGGTTTGGGAATGGGGAACTGGGATTTGGGGTAAAATGGTTTGGAAGTGAGGGGGGTTGGGGATGGGGAATGGGAGTTGGGGGAAAAGCCTTTAAAATGATGGGGTTTGGGAATGGGGAACTGGGATTTGGGGTAAAAGCCTTTAAAATGATGGGGTTTGGGAATGGGGAACTGGGATTTGGGGTAAAAGCCTTTAAAATGATGGGGGTTTGGGAATGGGGAACTGTGATTTGGGGTAAAAGCCTTTAAAATGATGGGGGTTTGGGAATGGGGAACTGTGATTTGGGGTAAAAGCCTTTAAAATGATGGGGTTTGGGAATGGGGAATGGGAGTTGGGGGAAAAGCCTTTAAAATGATGGGGTTTGGGAATGGGGAACTGTGATTTGGGGTAAAAGCCTTTAAAATGATGGGGTTTGGGAATGGGGAACTGGGATTTGGGGGAAAAGCCTTTAAAATGATGAGGTTTTGGGAATGGGGAACTGGGATTTGGGGGAAAAGCCTTTAAAATGATGGGGTTTTGGGAATGGGGAACTGGGATTTGGGGGAAAAGCCTTTAAAATGATGGGGTTTTGGGAATGGGGAACTGGGATTTGGGGGAAAAGCCTTTAAAATGATGAGGTTTTGGGAATGGGGAACTGGGATTTGGGGGAAAAGCCTTTAAAATGATGGGGTTTGGGAATGGGGAACTGGGATTTGGGGTAAAAGCCTTTAAAATGATGGGGTTTGGGAATGGGGAACCGTGATTTGGGGTAAAAGCCTTTAAAATGATGGGGTTTGGGAATGGGGAGCTGTGATTTGGGGTAAAAGCCTTTAAAATGATGGAGGTTTGGGAATGGGGAACTGTGATTTGGGGTAAAAAGGCTTGAAAATGATGGGGCTTGGGAATAAGGAATTGGGATGTGGGGTAAAAGCCTTTAAAATGATGGGGTTTGGGAATGGGGAACTGGGATTTGGGGTAAAAGCCTTTAAAATGATGGGGTTTGGGAATGGGGAACTGGGATTTGGGGTAAAATGGTTTGGAAGTGAGGGGGGTTGGGGATGGGGAATGGGAGTTGGGGGAAAAGCCTTTAAAATGATGAGGTTTTGGGAATGGGGAACTGGGATTTGGGGGAAAAGCTTTTAAAATGATGGGGTTTGGGAATGGGGAACTGGGATTTGGGGTAAAAGCCTTTAAAATGATGATGTTTTGGGAATGGGGAACTGGGATTTGGGGGAAAAGCCTTTAAAATGATGGGGTTTGGGAATGGGGAACTGTGATTTGGGGGAAAAGCCTTTAAAATGATGGGGTTTTGGGAATGGGGAGCTGTGATTTGGGGTAAAATGGTTTGAAAATGATGGGGCTTGGGAATAGGGAACTGGGATTTGGGGTAAAAGCCTTTAAAACAATGGGGTTTTGGGAATGGGGAACTGGGATTTGGGGTAAAAGCCTTTAAAATGATGGGGTTTTGGGAATGGGGAACTGGGATTTGGGGTAAAAGCCTTTAAAAGGATGGGGTTTTGGGAATGGGGAACTGGGATTTGGGGGAAAAGCCTTTAAAATGATGGGGTTTGGGAATGGGGAACTGGGATTTGGGGGAAAAGCCTTTAAAATGATGGGGTTTGGGAATGGGGAACTGGGATTTGGGGTAAAAGCCTTTAAAATGATGGGGGTTTGGGAATGGGGAACTGGGATTTGGGTTAAAAGCCTTTAAAATGATGGGGTTTGGGAATGGGGAACTGGGATTTGGGGTAAAAGCCTTTAAAATGATGGGGGTTTGGGAATGGGGAACTGGGATTTGGGGTAAAAGCCTTTAAAATGATGGGGTTTGGGAATGGGGAAGTGTGATTTGGGGTAAAAAGGCTTGAAAATGAGGGGTTTGGGGCACAGGAAAATGTGATTTGTCTTGAAAACCGTAAAAATAGGAGGCATTAGGCACAGGGAAATGTGATTTGGGCCAAAAACCTTTAAAAATGGGGGGATTCAGGTACAGGGAAGTGTGATTTGGGTGGTTTTGGGTGTAAAGGGCAGGTCTGGGGTGTAAAAGGGAGATTTTAGGTGCAAAAGGGTATATTTTGGGTGCAAAAGGGAAGGTTTTGGGTATAAAAAGGCAGGTTTTGCTTGTAAAGGGCAGGTTTTGGGGATAAAAGGGCAGGTTTTGGGTATAAAAGGGGAGGGTTTGCTTGTAAAGGGGAGGTTTTGGGTGGAAAAGGGCAGGTTTTGGGTGGAAAAGGGCAGGTTTTGGGTGGAAAAGGGCAGGTTTTGGGTATAAAAGGAGGTTTAGGGTGGAAAAGGGGAGATTTGGGGTATAAAAGAGGAGGTTCTGGGTGGAAAAGGGCAGGTTTTGGGTATAAAAGAGGAGGTTTTGGGTATAAAAGGGGAGGTTTTGGGTGGAAAAGGGGAGATTTTGGGTATAAAAGGGGAGGTTTTGGGTATAAAACAGGAGGTTTTGGGTGGAAAAGGGCACGTTTTGGGTATAAAAGGGGAGATTTTGGGTGGAAAAGGGGAGATTTTGGGTATAAAAGGGGAGGTTTTGGGTGGAAAAGGGGAGATTTTGGGTATAAAAGGGGAGGTTTTGGGTGGAAAAGGGCAGGTTTTGGGTGGAAAAGAGGAGGTTTTGGGTGGAAAAGAGGAGGTTTTGGGTATAAAAGGGGAGGTTTTGGGTGGAAAAGGGCAGGTTTTGGGTGGAAAAGAGGAGGTTTTGGGTATAAAAGGGCAGGTTTTGGAGCCCCGGGGGAGTCACGCTCCCAACCGCTGCGGGGGGCCCGGGGGGAACAAAAGAGCAGCGTCTTTCCGAAGGGGAAAGCGCCTTTTTGAGTCGAAAACTGCTGATTTAAGGCAAAGCCCGACCGATTTGGGGCTAAAACCCCTCGGTTCGGTTCAAACCCGGCCCGGTGCCGGTTCCCGGTGCCGGTCCCGCACAGCGGGGCCCGGGCCTCGGGGGCGGGCCAAAGAGCGCGCCACGTCCGGCCATTGGCCCGCGCCCTGCAGCGCCCGCCTTCTCATTGGCTGCCAGCGCCGCCGCTCGTCCCCACCCAACCGCGCTGCTATTGGCCCGCTCAGCCGTCACTCAGCGCTCTCTCCCACGCTCCCATTGGCTGGCGAGCGCATCCATCGCGCCGGTAAGGCCCTCCCCTTTCCCACCACCCCCACCACCCCCAAAACCCCCCCCCCAACACCGGTCCCCATTCACCGCCGGTACCGGTACCTGGGCGGGAGCGGCTCCGGCGCGGGCCCGTCCGCCGCTCTCTGCCCGCTCGCTGCGAGCCGCCGCCGTTCCGCGCTCCGCCCGCCAAAACCGCCCGTAACGCGCAGGCGCCGCCGGCCCCGCTCCGCGCATGCGCTCTTCCCCGCTTCCAAACGCACCCTTTCCCCTCTCCGGTTCACACCGCTCCGGACCGGGCCCGTCTCCGGTACCGGCGGGCGGCCCCGCCTGCTCCTCGTCCTCCTCCTCCTCCACCACCACCGCCGCCGTCGTCGTCGTCGTCGTGGTCGTCGCTCCTAGCGCCGCGCTCACCGACCTGCCCCGGGCCCGCCGCCGGGCAACGGCCGCGCCTGCCAATCGCAGCGTCCGCGGCGTTGATGTGTCCAATCAGAAGGAAGTAGAGGCGGGACCGTTAGAGAGGGAGCCAATCAGCGATGTCTCCAAGCCGGAGCGGGAAAAGCAGCGTAAGGCGGGGTTATGTCTGCGTCACCCAATCCTTGAAGCGCAGAGGCGGGACTTTCCCCTCAATCAACCAATGAACCGCGTAGGCGCGGGGCGGCGCTCTCTCCCTCCACCAATAACCCCGCGCCTCCCTTCACCCCGCCCCTTTACCCCCCACCACCACCCAATCATCAACGGCGCGGGGGAGTTCCGCGGGCGGCGCCTGCCAATGGGAGCGAGCGGTGGGCGGGCCTTCGGGCGGGGGCGGCGGAGTGAGGCGGCGGCGCTGGGCTCGCTCGGCCCCTTTCGGAGCCGGCGCCTCGCGGAGGGAGCATCGCGGAGCCGCCGCCCCCAGCCCGCACCGCCCCGCGCCGCCGCCATGTCCAAGGCCGAGGTACGGGCCCCGTTCCCTCCGCCGCCCCCCCCCCCCACCCCCTCCCCGCACCGGCCCCGCCGCCCCCTTCCCCCCCCCCCCTTTCCCGTTACCGCCTTCAACCGCGGCCTACCGCGCGCACTGCGCCTGCGCGCCGAGGCTCTCCGCGCATGCGCCTGATGGTGGTGGTAGGTGAGGGGGGGGCTTATAGCGCATGCGCAATCCGCGCTTCTCTTTGCCCCCCCCCTCCATGCCCACCGCTGGTTCCCCCCCCCCCGAGCCACGTGCGCGCCTTTGTGCTGCGGGGGGCGATGGCGGCACCGCGCATGCGCGGGAGCTGGGTGGGATGGGGAAGGGGGGGGCACACATGGGACCCATAGGGGAATATTGGGGGGGGGAGCCCCATAAAGGAGGGCCGGAGGTGATGAAGGCCTTAAAATGGGGGGGTTTGGGGCTGGGGGGGTCCTAATTATAGGGGGTGGGGGCTCCATGGGTGTGGGTGACCCCAAAAACAAGGACATGGAGGGGGGGGGGTTCAGGGTCTCTTTAGGTCCTGGGCAGCACCACATATGGGGCCAGGGGGGTTTAGGGGGGTCCTGGGGCAGCCCTATAGGGGAGCAATAGTGTGGGGCTCAGGCCTCTGGAGGGGGCAGGCAGCCCCATAAAGAGGGGTTGGGGGCTGCCAGGGCCTGCTCTGCCCCATAAGTGGGTACTGGGGTCCCCATAGGGTAACATTGGGGTGGTCAGTGGTGCTGTGTGAGCCCAGAGATGGGGGGGGCGCTGGGGGTGAATGGTTTCCTATGGGGCTGGAGACCCCAAAGAGGGGCTTTGGGAGGGTCCCTTGGAGGCTGAATGCAGAGATGGGGGGGGGGTCCAATGATGGGCCTCTCATTGGAGATAGGGGGGGCCAAAGCAGCCCCAGGTGGGGCATTTTGGGATGATTACAAGGGGGGGGTCGTGTTCCCCTGCCCCCCAGTGAGCCCCATATCTCCCCTTCCCCATAGTCTCCAAAGGAGCCCGAGCAGCTCCGGAAGCTCTTCATTGGCGGCCTCAGCTTCGAAACCACAGACGAGAGCCTGCGCAGCCACTTCGAGCAATGGGGCACCCTGACCGACTGCGTGGTGAGCCCCACAAGTCCTCTGTGCCCCCCAAGTCCATTGTGCCCCTTAAGGCCTTTGTCCCCCCAAGTGCTTTGTGCCCTCCAGGTCCTCTGTGCCCCCCAAGTCCTCTGTCTCCCATGTCCTCTGAGCCCCACCAAGTCTTCTGTGCCCCCCACGTCCTTTGAGCTCTCCAGGTCCCTTGTGCCCCCCAGGTTTGTTGTGTCCTTCAGTATCCCCCAAGTTTCTTGTGTCCCTCAAGCCCTCTGTACCCCTAAGTCCTCTGTGCCCTTCAAGTCCTATGAACCCCCCCAAGTCTTCTGTGTCCCCCAATTTCTCTGTACCCCCCCAGTCCTCTGTGCCCCTCAAGTCCTATGAACCCCCCAGGTCCCCTGTGCCCCCCAGTTCCTCTGTCACCCCCAGGTCCTCTTTGCCCCCCATCACTTTCACTGGGTGTCACCCCTGGGTGATGCTCCTGTGGTAGTGAGGAGGAAAGGGACCAGATGTGATGGGAAGGAGCCGCATCCCTATGGATCTTTTTGGGGGGGGGGGTTCCAGGCTGAATCCTGATGTGTGTCCCTGTTCCCCAAGGTGATGAGGGACCCGAACACGAAGCGCTCCCGCGGCTTCGGCTTCGTCACGTACTCCTCGGTGGAGGAGGTGGATGCAGCCATGAACGCCCGGCCCCACAAAGTGGATGGCAGAGTCGTTGAACCAAAGAGAGCCGTGTCCAGAGAGGTGGGGATGGGCCCTGCTTGAGGGGGGGGGGAATGGACACAGGGGGGTTCCAAGCATCCCAAACGCATCCCTAAAGCAATCCTGGGCTGATCCCAACCAGACCCTGTGCTGACCCCCCACCTGTTCTAAGTGCACCTTGAAATCCAATCAAAACACACCCCAAACCCATCCTGAATTGACCCCCAACCCCCCCAAATCCATCCCAAACTATCCCCAACCCCCCCCCAAATCCATCCCAAACTATCCCCAAACCCACCCACAAAACAACCCCCAACCCCCCCCAATCCATCCCAAACTATCCCCAAACCCACCCCCAAAACAACCCCCAACCCCCCAAATCCATCCCAAACTATCCCCAAACCCACCCCCAAAACAACCCCCAGCCCCCCCAAATCCATCCCAAACTATCCCCAAACCCACCCACAAAACAACCCCCAACCCCCCCAAATCCATCCCAAACTATCCTCATCCCCCCCAAAACAATCCCCAACACCCCCCAGTTCCATCCCAAACCCATCCCAAACTGACCCCAAATCCCCCCCCAAACAACCCCCACCACCCCCCAGTTCCATCCCAAACTGACCCCAAACTGTGCCAAATTCTCCCCTAAAATAACCCCCAACCCACACCAATCTCATCCCAAACCATCTTCAAACCCACCCCAAACTCATTCTAAACGCATCCCAAACCATTCCTGAACCCATCCCAAATGCATCTCAAATCCATCCCAAACCACCTCCAAACCTGTCCCAACCCCATCCCAAACCGTCCCCAAACGCATCCCCACCCATCTCCAAACCATCCTGAAACCCGTGTGAAACCCATCTGCAAACCCATCTCTAAACCCATCTCAGATGCATCCTGAATCCATCCCAAAGACATCCCAAACTATCGTCAAACCTGTCTCAACCCATGTCCAAACCCCTCCAAACACATCCCCAAAGCATCCCAAAGCTTCCCCAAACGCATCCCAAAGCACCCCCGCCCCACCCTAACCTCATCCCAAAGCTTCCCCAAACGCATCCCAAAGCACCCCCAACCCCATGCCAACCCCTAACCCTAACCCCATCCTCAATCCTTACCCTATCCCTGAACCCCCAGTCCCCAAATCCCTCCCTAACCCCCCCAATCCCCCCCAGTCCCTCCCCAACCCATCCCTAACCCCTCCAATCCCCCCCCAACCCCCCATCCCACCCCAACCCCATCCCCAACACCTCTAACCCCACTCAACCATCCCTAATCCCCCCAAATCCCACCCCCAATCCCAACCCCATCCCTAACCCCCCCATCCCCACCCCAACCCTGTCCCCAACACCTCTAACCCCCCATAACCACCCCCAACACCCCCCCAACCCCATCCCTAACCCCCCCAATCCCCCCAACCCCATCCCTAACCCCCCCAATCCCCTCATCCCATCCTCAACCCCATCCCCACCACCTCTAACCCCCCATAACCACCCCCAACACCCCCCAACCCCATCCCTAACCCCCCATCCCTCCTCAACCCCATCCCACCTCTAACCCCCCAATCCCCCCCAACCCCATCCCTAACCCCCCCATCCCCTCCTCAACCCCATCCCCATAACCACCCCCAACGCCATCCCTAACCCCCCAATCCCCCCCAATCCCCCCCAACCCCATCCCTAACCCCCCATCCCCTCCTCAACCCCATCCCCACCACCTCTAACCCCCCATAACCACCCCCAACACCCCCCCAATCCCCCCCAACCCCATCCCTAACCCCCCATCCCACCCCAACCCCATCCCCACCACCTCTAACCCCCCATAACCACCCCCAACACCCCCCCAACCCCATCCCTAACCCCCCCAATCCCCCCAACCCCATCCCTAACCCCCCAATCCCCCCCTACCCCATCCCCACCCCAACCCCATCCCCACCACCTCTAACCCCCCATAACCACCCCCAACACCCCCCAACCCCATCCCTAAGCCCCCCAATCCCCCCCAACCCCATCCCTATCCCCCCCATCCCCTCCTCAACCCCATCCCCACCACCTCTAACCCCCCATAACCCCCCCCAACAGCCCCCCAACCCCATCGCTAACCCCCCCATCCCACCCCAACCCCATCCCTAAACCCCCATCCCCTCCTCAACCCCATCCCCACCACCTCTAACCCCCCATAACCCCCCCAATCCCCCCCAACCCAATCCCTACCCCCCCATCCCCTCCCCAACCCCATCCCCACCACCTCTAACCCCCCATAACCCCCCCCAACACCCCCCCAACCCCATCGCTAAGCCCCCCATCCCACCCCAACCCCATCCCCACCACCTCTAACCCCCCATAACCACCCCCAACACCCCCCCAACCCCATCCCTAACCCCCTCATCCCATCCCCAACCCCATCCCCACCACCTCTAACCCCCCATAACCCCCCCCAACAGCCCCCCAACCCCATCGCTAACCCCCCCATCCCACCCCAACCCCATCCCTAACCCCCCCATCCCCTCCTCAACCCCATCCCCACCACCTCTAACCCCCCATAACCACCCCCAACACCCCCCCAACGCCATCCCTAACCCCCCCAATCCCCCCCAACCCAATCCCTAACCCCCCCATCCCCTTCTCAACCCCATCCCCAACACCTCTAACCCCCCATAACCGCACCCAACGCCCCCCCAACCCCATCCCTAACCCCCCCATCCCCTCCTCAACCCCATTCCCACCACCCCCAACACCCCCCTAATCCCCCCCCACCACCTCACCCCATTGCCCCCGCAGGACTCCCAGCGGCCCGGCGCCCACCTCACCGTCAAGAAGATCTTTGTGGGGGGCATCAAGGAGGACACGGAGGAGCATCACCTCCGCGATTACTTCGGGCAGTACGGCAAGATCGAGGTCATCGAGATCATGACCGACCGCGGCAGCGGCAAGAAGCGCGGCTTCGCCTTCGTCACCTTCGACGACCACGACTCCGTGGACAAGATCGTCAGTGAGTGATGGAGGGGGGGGTTTTTACCCCTGATGTGTGCCTTGGGATGGGGCTGAAGCTCAGCTGGTTCCAGCCCTGTGCTGCTGGGATGCTCTGAGAGCCGTCTGACCTGTCCTTGATGGGATGGAGCAGGCAAACGCTCTCCATTGAGCCCATGCCAGTGTCCCAGCAGGGAAGAACTTCCTTATCTCCAAGCTGAACTTCCCCTGTTCCAGGCTGAACCCATCACCCCTTGTCCCATCGCTCCAGCTCTGGGTAGAGATCCAGCTCCAGCATCCTTGTAGCCCCCTTTAGGCACTGGAACCTGCTCTGAGCTCTCTTCTCCATCCCCAGTATTCCCAAGTGCCCCAAGAGGATGCTCAGCCCTTAGGGATGCTTTCCTCTGGAGCAGGATGCTCTCAGATCCGTCTGACCTGTCCTTGATGGGATGGAGCAGGCAAATGCTCTGCATTGAGCCCATGCCAGTGTCCCAGCAGGGAAGAGCTTCTTTAGATCCAAGCTGAACTCTCCCTGTTCCAGCCTGAACCCATCACCCCTTGTCCCATCGCTCCAATCCTTGCTGCAGATCCAGCTTCAGCATCCCTGTAGCCCCCTTCAGGCACTGGAGCCTGCTCCGAGCTCTCTTCTCCATCCCCAGTATTCCCAAGTGCACCAAGAGGATGCTCAGCCCTTAGGGATGCTTTCCTCTGGAGCAGGATGCTCTGAGATCCATCCAACCTGTCCTTGATGGGATGAAGCAGCCAGACTTTCTCCATTGAGCCCATTGCAGTGTCCCAGCACCCTCGTTTTCCTTATTTCCAAGCTGAAATTCCCTGCTCCAGCCTGAACCCATCACCCCTTGTCCCATCGCTCCAATCCTTGCTGCAGATCCAGCTTCAGCATCCCCGTAGCCTCCTTCAGGCACTGGAACCTGCTCTGAGCTCTCTTCTCCATCCCCAGTATTCCCAGTTCCCAAGCACCCAAAGAGGATGCTCAGCCCTTAGGGATGCTTTCCTCTGGAGCAGGATGCTCTGAGATCCGTCTGACCTGTCCTTGGTGGGATGGAGCAGGCAAATGCTCTCCATTGAGCCCATCCCAGTGTCCCAGCAGGGAAGAACTTCCTTATCTCCAAGCTGAACTTCCCCTGTTCCAGTCTGAACCCATCACCCCTTGTCCCATCGCTCCAATCCTTGCTGCAGATCCAGCTTCAGCATCCCCGTAGCCTCCTTCAGGCACTGGAACCTGCTCCGAGCTCTCTTCTCCATCCCCCAAGTGCCCCAAGAGGATGCTCAGCCCTTAGAGATGCTTTCCTCTGGAGCAGGATGCTCTCAGATCCGTCTGACCTGTCCTTGATGGGATGGAGCAGGCAAACGCTCTCCATTGAGCCCATCCCAGTGTCCCAACAGGGAAGAACTTCCTTATCTCCAAGCTGAACTCCCCCTGTTCCAGGCTGAACCCATCACCCCCTGTCCCATCGCTCCAATCCTTGCTGCAGATCCAGCTCCAGCATCCCTGTAGCCCCCTTCAGGCACTGGAAGCTGCTCTGAGCTCTCTTCTCCATCCCCAGTATTCCCAGCTTCCAAGCACAAAACAGGATGCTCAGCCCTTAGGGGTGCTTTCTGCTGGAGCATGATGCTCCAAACCCCATCCAAACTGGCCTGGATGGGATGGAGCAGCCAAACCTTCCCCACTGAACCCATCCCAGTGTCCCAACAGGGAAGAACTTCCTTATCTCCAAGCTGAACTCCCCCTGTTCCAGGCTGAACCCATCACCCCCTGTCCCATCGCTCCAATCCTTGCTGCAGATCCAGCTCCTGCATCCTTGTCCCCCCCTTCAGCCACTGGAAGCTGCTCTCCTCCAGCCCCAATGTTCCCAGCCTGGCTCCTATGGGAACTGCTCCCTCCCCTCCTCATCCTCATGGCCTTGCTCCAGCAGCTCCGTATCCTTAAGGACACCACAACCAGGTGCAGCATCCAAGTGGGATCTCCCCAGGATGTAGTTAAAGGGGGAGAATCCCCTCCCTGAGCTGCTGCTCACGCTCTGGGGGTGCAGCCCAGCACATGGGGGCTCAGTGTGGATCTCCTTGTCCAGCACCCCCAAATCCTCCTCCTCAGGCTGCTCCCACTTCCCAACTTGGGATTCCCCATCCATGGGCAGGACCTTGGCCTTATTGAGCTCCTTGAGGTTGCCATTGGCAGCTCTCAGTGGATCCAGATCCCTTTGGATCCAATCCCTTCCCTGCAGCCATCACCGCCAGGCTGAGGGTGCTCGATCCCATTGTCCCTGTCACCAACACCGGTGGCCCCTTACCCGCTGGTGTGCATCCATCCCATCCACGTCTCCATTGGAAAACCAGGGATCTGCTCTCCTGCCAGCCCTCAATGTTCCCAGCCTGGCTAGCACTGATTGACATCAGTGATGCTCATGAGCATCCCTTTGTTGGGGAGGTGTTCCCCATCCTCATCCCACCCGTGTCTCCATTGGAGAACCTTGCTCAGGGCAGCTCAATGGGTTAGGGTCCTTAAGGACCCCCCAACCAGAATGAAGTAGCAGCATCCATCAGTGATGCTCCCCAGCATCCCTTTGTTGGGGGGGGGGGGGGGTGGTGTTCCCATTCCATCCATCCCATCCTGTCTCCATTGGAGAACCAGGGATCTGGGGGTGGTGGCACAGCAGGATGCTCAGGGCAGCTCAGTGTGGATCTCCCCAAAGCACCCCCAGAATCCTGATTGACATGAGTGATGCTCATGAGCATCCCTTTGTTGGGGAGGTGTTCCCCATCCATCCATCCCATCCACATCTCCTTTGGAGAACCAAGGATGCTCAGGGCAACTCAATGGGTTAGCTTTAGAAAGCATCCCCCCCTCCCTTAGAATGAAGTAGCACTGATTGACATCAGTGATGCTCATGAGCATCCCTTTGTTGGGGAGGTGTTCCCCATCCATCCATCCCACCCGTGTCTCCATTGGAGAACCAAGGATGCTCAGGGCAGCTCAATGGGTTAGGGTTAGCTTTAGGGTCCCCCCCCAAAGCATCCCCCCCCCCCTTTAGAATGAAGTAGCACTGATTGACATGAGTGATGCTCATGAGCATCCCTTTGCTGGGGAGGTGTTCCCCTTCCATCCATCCCATCCACATCTCCATTGGAGCGCCAAGGATGCTCAGGGCAGCTCAGTGGGTTAGAGTTAGGGTCCCTCCCCAAAGCATCCCCCCCCCTTAGAATGAAGTAGCACTGATTGACATGAGTGATGCTCATGAGCATCCCTTTGTTGGGGAGGTGTTCCCCTTCCATCCATCCCATCCACATCTCCATTGGAGAACCAAGGATGCTCATGGCAACTCAATGGGTTAGGGTTAGCTTTAGGGTCCCCCCCAAAGCATCCCCCCCCTCCCTTAGAATGAAGTAGCACTGATTGACATGAGTGATGCTCATGAGCATCCCTTTGTTGGGGAGGTGTTCCCCTTCCATCCATCCCATCCACGTCTCCATTGGAAAACCAGGGATCTGGGGGGTGGTGGCACCGAGGATGCTCAGGGCAGCTCAATGGGTTAGGGGTCCCCCCCCAAAGCATCCCCCCCTCTTACAATGAGGTAGCACTGATTGGCATGAGTGATGCTCGTAAGGATCCCTTTGTTGGGGGGGGGGGGGTGTTCCCATTCCATCCATCCCATCCACATTTCCAGTGGAAAATCAAGGATCTGTGGGGTGCTGGCACTGAGGATGCTCAGGGCAGCTCAGTGGGTTAGGGGTCCCCCCCCAAAGCATCCCCCCCCCCCCTTAGAATGAAGTAGCACTGATTGACATGAGTGATGCTCATGAGCATCCCTTTGTTGGGGAGGTGTTCCCCTTCCATCCATCCCATCCACATCTCCATTGGAGAACCAAGGATGCTCAGGGCAGCTCAATGGGTTAGAGTTAGGGTCCCCCCCAAAGCATCCCCCCCCTTAGAATGAAGTAGCACTGATTGACATCAGTGATGCTCATGAGCATCCCTTTGTTGGGGAGGTGTTCCCCTTCCATCCATCCATCCACATCTCCATTGGAGAACCAAGGATGCTCAGGGCAGCTCAGTGGGTTAGAGTTAGGGTCCCCCCCAAAGCATCCCCCCCCCTTAGAATGAAGTAGCACTGATTGACATGAGTGATGCTCATGAGCATCCCTTTGTTGGGGAGGTGTTCCCCTTCCATCCATCCCATCCACATCTCCATTGGAGAACCAAGGATGCTCAGGGCAGCTCAATGGGTTAGCTTTAGGGTCCCCCCCCCAAAGCATCCTCTCCCCCCCCCCCTTAGAATGAAGTAGCACTGATTGACATGAGTGATGCTCATGAGCATCCCTTTGTTGGGGGGGGGGGGGGTGTTCCCATTCCATCCATCCCATCCACGTCTCCATTGGAAAACCAAGGATCTGTGGGGTGCTGGCACTGAGGATGCTCAGGGCAGCTCAGTGGGTTAGGGGTCCCCTCCAAAGCATCCCCCCCCCCCCCCCCTTTAGAATGAAGTAGCACTGATTGACATGAGTGATGCTCATGAGCATCCCTTTGTTGGGGGGGGGGGGGGGTGGTGTTCCCATTCCATCCATCCCATCCACATCTCCATTGGAAAACCAGGGATCTAGGGGGTGGTGGCACTGAGGATGCTCAGGGCAGCTCCCCCCCCAAAGCATTTAGAATGAAGTAGCACTGATTGACATCAGTGATGCTCATGAGCATCCCTTTGTTGGGGAGGTGTTCCCCATCCATCCATCCCACCCATGTCTCCATTGGAGAACCAAGGATGCTCAGGGCAACTCAATGGGTTAGCTTTAGGGTCCCCCCCAAAGCATCCCCCCCCCCCTTAGAATGAAGTAGCACTGATTGACATGAGTGATGCTCATGAGCATCCCTTTGTTGGGGGGGGGGGTGGTGTTCCCATTCCATCCATCCCATCCACATCTCCATTGGAGAACCAAGGATGCTCAGGGCAGCTCAATGGGTTAGAGTTAGGGTTCCCCCCCCCCAAAGCATCCCCCCCCTTAGAATGAAGTAGCACTGATTGACATGAGTGATGCTCCTGAGCATCCCTTTGTTGGGTTGGGGGGTTGGGTTGATTCTCCCTCCATCCATTGCATCCACGCCTCCCCTTTGGGATCCGGGATGACGGCCGTATCCCGGGTGCCCTTTTCCCCCCCTTCATTCCCTGTCTTTCCCCCCCCCCTCCCCTCCCCTCCACAACCCCCCCCCCCATTTTCCCAGTCCAGAAATACCACACTGTGAACGGGCACAACTGCGAGGTGAGGAAAGCCCTGTCCAAGCAGGAGATGGCCAGCGCCTCGGCCAGCCAGCGAGGTGAGCCCCCCCCTCAGCCCCTCCGCTGCCCCCCGCCCCCCCCGCAGCCCCTTCACCGCGCTGCCTGCGCTGTTCCTAAAGGCTGTCCCCTGCCTCCTCCTCCTCCTCTTCCTCCTCCTCCTCCTCCTCCTCTCTTAGGCCGCAGCGGCTCCGGTAACTTCGGTGGGGGCCGCGGTGGCGGCGGCGGCGGCGGCTTCGGTGGCAACGACAACTTCAACCGTGGAGGCAACTTCGGGGGCCGTGGTGAGTGAGATGGGGACCCCCCTCCCCTCCCCCGTTCATCCCCATCCATCCCTAGGGCACCCCCCCCCACATCAGGATGAGGCCCTGGCTCCTCTGACACCTCCCCAAGTGCCTTCATCCCCATCCCTTTGGTACCCCCCCTTTCCAAGGCACTGCCATGGCTCCAACTGCCTCCTCCTCCTCCATCATCCACATCAGGAACCCCGCCCCCTCCCCTTCATCCCCATCCATCCCTATGTCACCCCCCCCATTATCCAAGCACCACCATGGCTCTGACTCATGGCTCTTCCTCCATCATCCACATCAGGACCCCCCCCCCCCCACCTTCATCCCTATGGTACCCCCCCATTATCCAAGCACCACCATGACTCCAGCTGCTTCCTCCTCCTCCATCATCCATATCAGGACCCCCCCCCTTCATCCCCATCCATCCCTTTGGTACCCCCCCATTATCCAAGCACCACCATGACTCCAGCTGCTTCCTCCTC